GCGCCATTGCACTATTTAATGTAAAAGTTACGTACAATTTTGTAATTTTACTGAATATATTATTCCGAAATTACAAATTTAACCGAATCAGCCGAAAAATCATTCGGCTAATTTTTATCAGGTGTTTCAGGAATTATGATAATGACAGTAAGACTAGAGATTGTACCCGGGTAGATATTTTTATTATATGGCTATAATAAATTACCGGATAACCGGTAATTTAATAATGCCCGGGTAGAGATTTTCTTAACGGGTACAATCTCTAAACATCAAAATGATTAAGAATTTTTTAAAAATTGAAGATTTAGAGTTAGGTGGGTTAGATTATATGTAAAATTTTGTGCTGAAAACTTTTGCTTAGTACACAAAGTTTCATTCTTATAATAAAATAATTTTTTCATCATTCGAGTTGACATTAAGTCAACAGATCGAAAAGACAATCTAAGCACTGACGTACCACACAATGAAAATCACATGGAAATCCAGGTAGTAACAGAGAAATCCGGTACATGCAAAGTGGCAGAGATGAGTATGAATTCGATGATTACTAATTTAGGATGTCATGGCGCGGATTCTAATATAACCTAAATTCGTTAGGGCAAAACAAGGTCGCACACTAATATAAACTCTGGTTGGCTGGCAGCCCAACTGCAACCCCTGGGGAGCTTGCCATATTCGCACCCTCCCTTCCCCCCATTTTGCAAATCCTTCGTAATTACGGCCGGCCTGCATTATGCAGGTGGGAAACCACCGGCCAATGCTATTCATTGCTAGTCGATCCACAAAACCTTGCGTCGACAGCCGGCCCGCTTTATGTGGGTGGGAAACCACTAATTCATACATCAATTGCACCGATTCATACTACACATCTATTTTAAGCAATCTAATAAAGTTTAATATTCAGCTCTATTTGGGCTGGTGTACATCCAAATATAAAGTCAAGTGCGAATGGTACTTTTTGAAGATTTTACTATTTTTTGGTTACACGAGATCCTGTGATCTGATTGGTCGCATGTTTGGTTAAAGTTTTGGGTTTCGGGAGTTTCGGATTACCCGAAATTAGTTTCGGGTAGGTTTTGTTTCGTTGCCCAAATCTAATGGCAATGATTATGTGTTCAACTACTTTTAGCTTGAATTGGGCATATAAAGTTTTATATGTCCAATTTGTCCAATTGCCAACTGTAATTAATGTATTTAATTTTTCTAATAATTAACTATTGTTTCAAATATATAAAAAAAGAAGCAATTTCGGATGTTTTACAGTTTTAGGTAACTCAAGCAATCGAGTTAATTTATAAATTTACCACGTATGTATGTACGTACATACATTATTTATTACCTTATTTGATATGATAATGTTTGTGCCATTGGAAATTGGACAAATTGCACATATAATTGCGTGAATTGGACATTTGGACGAATTGCACATATAATTGCGTGAATTGGACATTTTGACATATAAGCTTTATATGTCTAATTCAAGCTAAAAATAATTAGGACATATAAGCATTGCCATCCCTGTGTTTATGCAGATGCATCAAAGCTAGAGTTCCAATCCGGATAAATCCTTCATCCATCTGAATTGTCCGGATAATTCAGATCGGATAAACAGATAAGATATCCGGATAATCCAATAGATAATAGGATAATTATCCGGATATCAATAGTAAACGATATCAGTTATTGGTTATCCGAGTATCCGGTCTAAATTTAATTCGGATATCTTATAATTATTGAATAAATGCTAACCGAATTAGAACTCTAATCAAAGCGTAATCCTCCGCTACGCTTCGAATTAATAAACATGAATAATGATCGTAGTCGCAGTCAATTTAAAAAACTAAAGTCAAATCCATTAAGTATTTATCCAGATAACTATCAGATATCCAAATCTGAATTTATTCGGATATCCTAAGGGATGGCTAAAGCCGTGTATCCACATAATTTGGTTAGGTTTTAATTAAAAACTTGGGTTAGGGTTAGTTAGTATTAGGGTGAGGGTAAGGGGGAGAGTAGTTATATAGGTAAAATTGCCCCTCCAACATTTTTTATTGATACTTCAGGATAGGTTTAGACTGCCGTTTTTCATATTTTTGCATTTTCTTGATTTTTTGACTTCGTCAGGCTGATTAGTGTAAACAAAATTTCGCGATTCCTGTTGGTTTGTTTACACTAAAAAAGTCACATGGGTACATGGCTTTAGATGACCCCATTTATACTGACTACTTGGACTACTTGTTAGATTATCCGGATAATTTGATACGGATAAACGGATGACCGGATTGGAACTCTATAAAAAACTCAAAATTAATTCTTTTGGCATTTTGATTAATTAAATATAGATTCTTTTCGCGTATTATAATAATGGGAAATATTTACCTTTTGCTAAATTTATTACTATTATTTTTTTACATTAAACAAACCTTCTCTGGTCTATACTAAAGAAGCATTAGCAGAATTATGGGACGTGAATTACTTAATCTTTTGGCTATTGAGGAAAAATTGATCATAATAGATAAAACTTTACAACAATTGCTAAAAGATCACTCTTCAAGTTTTGGAGGAACATATATAAATGTTACGAAGAACCAAGTATTTGTCAATACTGTGAACCCTTCTGTAGTTCCTATAATAAAAAGTTCATCAGAGTTAACCAATAATGATTATTTAAACTTCGTAACCTTTGTAACCGCAAGTAACTCAATGGATATATTAGCATACCGCATTATTAAAATATATGAGAAAATTAAACAATTCAAACCAATTAATATTCTATGTTATATTGATATGGAGCTTAATAATGTTGTAGTACGTCATGATCAAAAAACAAATGATGGGTTTTTAAACTCTATTCATGAATATAACCCAATTTTTGTTCGATACAGGGTTGATTTATCACACACTATATGTAATAATAATAATGATGACATAAGAATAACACAATTTTCTATCTTACGTAGAGACTTAAATCTCAAAATCTTTAGTGGTGAAGGTTTAATAAATCTTTTTAATAATTTAGGCTGTTCTGTGGGTTTTTGGGCAAGAGATAAAAAAGATGAAAATCAGAATTACATTGTAACTGCTGGCCATTGTTCTAATAAACTATCACGATTGGTTGGTACAGAAAATTTTGCCCATATGGCGTGGATTCTACTGAACTCTATTTACTTGGACCAATGATACAATCCAGAAATATAGATAAATATGATTTTGGTTTGGTTAATATAACAGGCAGCAAATACTTAAAATCAATGACAACACTTATAAGAAATACAGATTCTGAAGAGCATACTGAATTAATTATTGAACGTGGTATACAAACGGTTAGCCATGGTGCTCATGTATGTAAAGCTGGTTTTAGTTCACATGTTACTTGCGGTTATATAAAAGGACTTATTACAATTAGTACGTTTTTAGAAGGTATACCTTTCAAGGATTATATATTTTATGGTAAAGACGCTTTTCAAATATCTTGTGGGGGTGATAGCGGGGTCCTTTATTTTCTTATTTACAAAATTTAAATACTGTGGGTCTAAGTGGCATACATATTGGTGGCATTGGAGATTTTTCTGTTTTTTTGCCGTTAAGTATAATTCTCAGTAAAGGTAAAATAAATCTCGTTGGTCCTTCTCCTCAGAACTGATGAAGCATTCATATTCTTGATAAATTATTTATCTGTTAGGTATTATAGTCAGTTTTGGAAATCTGGTTTGATATTTATGTCCTCATAAGAATAAATTTATTTAATTTAATGTTCTCGGAAATTTATTTATGTTCTCAACAGTAAAATTTATTTATATCTCTATTTTTAAATTTCTAATTTCAGAAAATATCAGTCATTGATTCAAATTTTCGTCCCAACCTTTCTCGTCTTTTATGTTCATTCATTTTCTTTTTCGAATGATTTCTTCTGTTTCTGATTTTATTAATTTTATTTCCATCTGGCATTATGCTATTATATTTATATAGGGACCCGTTTTAAAAAAACGTGACCCGGGTCATCCGGGTGTAGTGTTGGCAGTAGAATTAATTTGGCAAATTAAACAGTTACCATATGATTTGCCGTAATAGTAATCACTTTGTGCCGTAATGTCGCAATGGCTTTAATGCCTTAATGTCATAATGCCACAATGCCGTTATGCTGTTATATTGAAATACCATAATGCTGTTGTATCTAAATAATATAATGTTATTGCAATAATGTGTTAAAGTACTGTATTGCTGCAAACAACATAGAATAACATAGGATAACATTCCGCAAGTGTTTATTGTTTAGAATTAAGATAACGCACAGTAAATTTACTGGTTTTGTGAATAAATAATCATTGATAATCAAAGTTCGTAGCGAAAGATCTTAATTTTTTTTTTATTGATCGGTCAAGGTCATTTCTTATAGCTGAGAGTAAAGTTTGTTTTCGGATTATCCTAAAATAAAAAAAAAAGTTTTTGGATGTTCTAAAAATTCCTAAATTGTTCTATATTTTTACTAATGCGAAAACAATTAACGATTGGTATAAATGCTACTACGTAGTTATTATAATCATGATTAAATTTGTAACAGTAAAGCAAGTTGCGTTATATTTCATTCATGGGTGAAGATGGAATAATTATAGTTAGTCATCAATTTAAAGAAATCGGTGTTAAAAAGAATAAACACAAAGCTTCAAATATTACCAAAAATTGATAGTAATTTAATTTTAAACTCTAACAAAGCTGAGTGTTTAATAATCATATAATTGAGCTCCTTTCTTCAGACTACCAGAATTAAACTTGTTGGTGAATTAATTGTCAAAGAATTAAGTGTCGGTGAAATAATCGTCAATGATTAAATGTCTGTAAAATAAACTTATTCTGAAGTCTTGTGTCTACAAAAGAAGCATCAGTTAAGTGAGAGGAACTGGTTTAATATCAAGTTCACTTGATTAAATTAATGCGAAATTAAGTTACAGTATAATATGCATAAGGGGTTTCAAATGATAATCATATTTATGTTAATTAACCCCTCTAATTTTTCTTTATCGGCATGCAGCTGATCGTTTCTGATAAAGTTTATGATTAGTGTTAGGCATCTTATTTATTGGTTGCGATCTTACTCGTGATCCGCCACATTCCCTTTTGGACTAAAACAGAAGGGATTTTCGTATAAAAAATTTTATAAGATCCGATCGTTCTGTTCAGATCGTTCAAACCGTTCATTCGGATCGTTCTGAACGTTCTGAACATACCCCCAAAATTTTTTTATCGTATTCTGGTTGTATTTATAATTTTTTTCTGTCACGTGAATTTCACCTTATAGTGTTGATTTACCCAATAACATTCGCTTTGTTATATACTTTGGATTTTTTTTTTACCTATAATATAAAATTTTTATTTTTTTTTTAAGATTTTTATTTTACTATATTCGTTCTCTAAATCGCTTATATAAATACTTATGCAAAAAAACAAAATACTTATTATAAATAGAAAATAATCGTATTTCA